AGTACTTAAAGCTATCCCAACACCAGCTAATCCACGTGAGCTAGCCGTCGCATCTCCTGACACCCTCAAGGTGAATTTTGCAGATTCATCCTGTTGGCCAGGTGGGGTTAGGTGAATAACCACACTTGGGTCTTGTATGCGTGTTTCTGAAACACAACATACATCAATGGCTCGGGATGCCAGAGTCTTGGCTAGTGATGCTTGTTGTCCTATTTGGCAAAGTGTCCTAACATTAAATGCTCCTATATAAAATTGGTGACGTGGTTTTAGGAGACCATCGGTGGTGGCTTTTTGGCTTCCATCGTTATCAGTGCACACAGAGTGAAGAGGGAGTGAAGATCCAACAAGTAGAGGAGTTGCATTGGTAGAAGGAAGGCAAGATAATAGAGATGAAGATGAAGACAAAGATGAGCGAGGATTAGAGGGGTTTCGCGTGCACTTCGGATTGTGAGGGCGATTGTTACTTCGCGGCTGCCCACACCGTGGAAGTTGGTTGCGTGACCGCAGAGCCCAGGGGACAACTGCTTGAGGCCGGTCACACACGGCCTGTTTTTGTTTGTTCTTTTTTATTTGGTGTGTCTCAGTAGCGTATTTATCACTTCTGCCCTGTGACACGGCAGCAGAGAGCGCGGTCGTTGTTAATCCGGGCCCCGACCGATCCGGCATGATATTTTGTGATTTATTTGAAATCATAGGATTGGATTGGGTAACTGCTTTTAGTCTAACTGCTATCCAAACAACCTTTCTGGCATGATAGGACCTGCAGGAACATAAGTTCCAGCCAGTATAGCTTGTTGGGTCATTGCAGTGTTCAAGCCCGACCACCACGTCAAGGTAGCAGCTTACCGTCGGGAAAGAACTATATAGACAAATCGACGGTGTGACAATGGGGTTATCACTAGGACCCATTCTAGCCGACATTTTCCTGGTGAAACTAAAAAATAATGGGCCTTTGAAGGATGTTATCAATGAACTCGAATTTTATTGTCGATACATGGATGATAGTTTTTTGATTATGAAAAAATGAGAAGGAGGAAGCAAAGAACATCCCGGATAAATTTAACGAGGTTTATCCTGCAATAAATTTTACTATTGAGAAAGAAAGACTCTAGTATTTCATTTCTAGACGTCCTTATGACAAGAAAAGAGGATGGCACAATACAAAGAAGTGTATATAGAAAACCTACATCAACGGGTCAGTATACCCATTTTCTCAGTTTCGTGCCCTAGAAATACAAATGCAATCTGATAAAGTGCTTGGTTCACAGAGAAAGAGTAATTCGCTTGGATGAATGTCTTGATGAGCAACTTAATAATGATAGTAAACAGTTGCTCAGTGAAAATACTTATCCAGAAAAGTTTATTGATAAGAATATGAATCTAAAGTCAAGGGCAGTTCAAGGTACACCAACAGTTCCGATGCAAAGGAAGGCCTTATTCTTACAAATGCAGTCAGTTCCTTGGGGACAACATTAGTGAGATACTAACTGACACAGCTGTGCCTTAGAAAGGAGGTGGTTAAAAGAGCATTCCCTGCTAATGATGAATTACGCTGTGTCTTCAAAACCACTCTTCTCTCTTGCATTCCTTCGGGAGTAAAAGACAAACTGAGTATAATTTCGTGTCTTCCATGTGTATCATCTCCCAATTTAACTGCTCCTGCGTGGAGTGAGCTAGTTACTTGTATAGGCCCTACAATTAGGCGTGTTTCTCGTCGAATTTCTGAACATCACCTTGAGTAGTTAGGCACAGGACAAACAAAATCTATTCACAGCGCTATTCTATCTCATCTTGTGGATACAGAACACAAGACTACTAAATATTGGTGAGGCTGGTTGGTCGTTGGGATGCAGATTGACAAGCCTAATTTGTGCATCCAAAGGAAGCTACTTAGTTCAGACATTATCCTTACCCGCTTGGCCATCTAGGTTTGAATGATCGATCCTGAATTTTTGTGGAATTTTCCTAATTTCAGTTGATATTCTATTTCCTACTATATCTTTGTTATAATAATTATTATTATTTAAGCATCTTTAATGAACTGTGGTAATTCCATTGTGATCTTACTTTACAAATCGATATTATTTAAAAAGCACACTCATGTTGCTATTGACTATTAATCTAAAATATTCTATGTATATAAACATGCATATATAGATATAATTGTAGAGCCAGAAGAGGAGGAAATTATCAAAAAAGGATATTCTTTCCCGGCTCAATTATATTTTGTGTTTTATAGATAGATGTCTGAATGAATATCATATATTTTAAAAAAAGATGTAATTGATCGTATCACAAAGGTCTTGTATCATCTAATAATAATAATAATAATAATAATAATAATAATAATAATAAAACCGCCTAGCCTTTATTATAATGTACAACGAAAAAAAAATTTTAAGGCATCATAACTTATCGCCGATGATACATGTCTGATTTCCCACAAACTGGAAGACATGCAAGCGAAAAGCAACAAGTTAGCAGAAGAAGCATCAAAGATAGGACTTCAGGTGAACATAGAGAAAACAGAGGTGATGAAGATTCCTGGACAATAACAACAACAACTGACAACAATCAGCATAAATGGGAGGAATCTGAAAGAAACAACCTCCTTCACCTACCTACCTGGGAAGCATCGTTTCAACTACAGGCGGACTCAACTGACGAGGATATCAAAGCAGCGAGGATCGGAAAAGCAAGACAAGCTTTCACTACTCTCAAGTCTGTGTGCAGGAGGTCAACAGCACTCAACATGAAAATGAAAATGAGATCCGGATTTTCAACTCCAATGTGAAGTCAGTCAGTGCTACTATACGGATCAGAGACTTGCACTGCGCATCATAAAGAGCATCTCAAACAAACTACAGACCTTCATTAACAGCTGTCTTCGCTCAATATCACTCAAGATCAGATGGCCAGCCGGCCAGAAAAGATCAGCAACAGGGTGGGATCTCTGACAATGAGCGAACCAACACAGCAGGAACCGATTGTGAAACAAATAGGCAGGAAGAAATGGAGATGGATTGGCAGGGCATACTCTGAGGAAACAAACCATCAAGTGACATCACTAGACCAGCCATTTCTCGAGTGGAACCTGAAAGGGAAGCGGCGAGTTGGTCGTCAGTGCAAGGGTGAGGGTGACTTGGAGGAGGTCATGTGAAGACGAGATGAAAACGTGTGGGCAGACATGGAGCCAGGTGAAGACTCTAGCAGAGAACAGAACGCAATGGAGACGCACGGCTGAAGCCCTATGTTCCTGTAGGAATTAAAGGAAACAATAATAATAATAATAACTTACCTATACCGATTGTACGCTTTATCCTTTAATAGTTCAATATGACTACGTTTCAAAAGTAGTTTGCCTTTTTCAACAATGACCAGTGGACGACAAATACGTCCAGCGTCTGTATAAATTCGGATTTCTTGATCACGATAATCTCGTATCATACTGACCTCACTGACAATGACATCAACTTGACGACGAAGTTTACGCAGAGTGCCCATTAAGTGATCCGGTGAGCTATGAATACCTACCCAACAACCATTGACGAATATTTTGCATGTTCTAAATTAAATTTTTAAATTAGAAAAGAAAAATATTTTGGTAAATATATCGAACTAGAAAAAAAATCCATAACAATTAGTTCCCTTGATATAAGTATAAAACTTGGGCACTGTGGTAGAGTGTAACTCCATTATGGATAAGATTTTATTTTGATAAACTGTCACACTGTGTGTAGTGTTATACAGTAAGTAATATTAACTGATGCGACCACACGTTTCAAGCACAAATTATTGCTCATAATCATATCAAGTTACTCACTCACAACTTTTTCCTTCATTTATATACATGTGTGGAATTGACTAGATATGTGAATAAAAATCAATATGAGTGTTATTGATCAAACACAATTAGATGGGAAAAAGGACGAATGTTCTTATAGTCATAATAAGTAATTTGTCAGAATGTTGTGATTTGCTTGAATTGAAATAGAATTTTGAGATCATTTATTATCCTCTTCTGATTTGACTGACTGGAGGTAATAATATCTTCCATGCATATCTCTTGTATTTGCATTGAGTCATTTCTGTTGCATGTGTTAGGTGTAGATTGAATGAACCAGGATTCAGTAATCAATCTCTCCACCTACATAGATTACTTCATAGAATCTTAACCCTCTCCCACCATGCTATTGTGTGGTTGTGTGTTAATGCGTGAAGTGAAGTTGCTGAGCTTTTTTCAAAATTATTTATCTTCTCGGGTGGGGTCAACCATTCTTACCTTAGCTAAATTCTTATGTCCCGACTATCTGACTAACCGCGATCTACTAGTTTGACCTATGTAGTTGAACTCACAGTCATTACAAGGTATTTTGTAAATGATATTATTTTGTCTAATTGGGTCCACCAGGTCTTTAAGCCTACAGAGGTTGTCTCTGAGTGAGTTCGTAGGTTTGAATGCCACCACTCTAATTCCTGCTTTATTAAGAATCCTACGTAGGGTCTCAGATGTCCCCTCCTTATATGGTATAACAGTAGATGACTTTTATTCTCTCTTATTTATGTTATCATTACTAGTTTCACAATTATTTTTATTTTGTTTTTGGCCTTTACTGATCTTCTTAATGAATTTTATAGGATAGTTAGTTATTCAACACCAACGCTTCTTCTATCTGTTTCATTTCATCATTTAGGTCTTTTCTTGTGCTACTTAGAGCTACTGCTCGGTTTGTTAAACACTTAACTAAGCCTGCCTTAACAGATAACTACGGATAAATGACATGAATTAAAGTCTAAATATCTATTAGAATCCGTTGGTTTTTTATAAACGCTAGTGTGTAGTTTACCTTGATTTTTATTCAAATATCTAGTCAATTCCAAATATATATATATATATATATATATATGAAGGAAAAAGTTGTTTTAGTAGTGATTTGATATAGATTATGAGCAATAATTTGTGCTCGAAACGTCATCAGTTAATACTACTGTGTAACACTGTGTGATTTATGAAAATAAAATCTTATCCATAATGGAATTAGTTCCCTTCATGAATTTATGCATATTTGCGCATAACACACATTTCGAACAATCTGATCCATCACACACACACGGACTTGTCATAGGAATATACACATGAGGAAATAACAAAGAGTTAAGAGGTGGGTGAGAAAATAGACTACTTGACTTCTTAGGTCAAGTTAAAAGGAGGACATATTGAAGGTCAAAATAACAATGAGGACCACTAAACCAAAGAGCAGAGGTAACAGTACATCTGCCCTGGATAGTATCAAAACAAAATGTACCAACATGGAAGGTTTAATGTGATGACGAATTGCTGCTTTGATGAACGCATAAAGGTGCTTTAAACTTTCTAATTGCCAGATAGGGCTAGCTTCCACAAACTTAAGGATACGTCTTCCCTCAAACACCTTTTATAGATAGGTTTCAAAGATCTGTTAACGTCAATTCTATGACCTGTCTCCTCTATAATATGTTTCGCAATAGAAGAGCTAGGTCTTCGTCTGTTCTCGCCATTAATCGGTTCTGAAGATTCCATTTGTTTCTGGAGCTATTTAGTAATAAGCTCTGAAGCCAGTTCTTACTTGCAGAGATCAATGAGTCCTCCTTATGTATGTTGTGTGTGTGTGTGTGTGTGTGTCCACACGTACATTCAAATTGGTAAATACAGTGGGATGTGACATCATATTTCGAATGTTCGAAGGGCTTAGATAGATAGATATATAGGTTTCACATTCTCAATTATTATGATATTCGCTGCATAAAAAGTCTTTTTAACCACAACGGCGTTCAACCTTTGTCTAGTTATCAAGCTGCTATGATGCCCCGCTCATATAGGGTAGCTTGATGTACACGTCTTTCTTAGGGGCGACTTGTAGAGTAGTGGGTCTTGGTGTTCCGCTGACTACTTTATATCTCCTCCTAATGAACTTGTCTGGATAACTGTTATCAACCAGAGTTCGTGTCAACTTTCTTTCTTTCTTCCTCATCATCAAGTGTGTCTGTCTTCAGTGCATGCATATTCGTTGGATTCTACTTGAAGAGACACCTCACTCACTAAGGCTGCTTTGTACCTAATAGGGCAGAAACTGTGGTAATTAAGATACTGTCCTGTCGTGTCCAGGTAGGTTTTCTATTAAAATAGATCTTTTTATTGACCCATCAAGCCGTCCGATGACTAAGCAATATGTGTCTAGGAAAGATAAACAATTATCTTCCTCTTCTACAGACAGATGTAAGTGATATGCTTACACTATTCTAAACTTCATTCATTCGATTTAAAATTGAAGTGGCAGTACAAGACACCTACTACATTAAGAAACTTAGACAATCTGGAATCATCCAACCTTTACTTTCACAATTTGTCAACTCTTGTATCTTATCTATTCTACTTTACTGCTCCCCGTTAGTCTTTCCTGGGCTACCGAAAAAGGACTACACCATCCTGAGAAGGATGTTGAAGGTAGTTAGTAGGACTAGTGGTGTAAAACTCAGTTAGCTCGTCACTACATTAGTTGAAAGGCATCTGAATACATGCGAAAAATGGTCAAAAAGCTTACTCTCCGACCCCCAACACCCCTCTATTCCCAACTCTCGCCTTGTATCTCATCAAGTAGGACGAGAAATCAGTATAAAATAATTTATGCTCTTATAACCAAGTACAGGAACTCAACGATACCATATTTGGCCCGTATTCTAAGTGACAGAGACAATGTTAAGTGCGAAACCTATGACTTGCTTTGTTGTTAATAACATAATCTTAGGCTCTTATTTGGTATTCTATACCAAACTCCTTCTTAAACATACTTAGCTACGCAAATCATTAACATTGGCTTCCTTTTTTGTACTTTACTCTATTCCTTCTATTGTGTATCTACTGGTTCCAACTATATTAGCACTATGAGTAGTACAAAATTGTCCTGTCATTAACCATCATGTAATTATTAGTTTTGTGGTTGTTTTTTCTTATTTTCTATACTTTTCGGCAATATTAAACTGACAACCACTGGTTGTGAATGCCATAGTCACCACCTTAAAAATTTTGTATTATGCAGGATTACTCACACTACCACTACAAACACTGCATTAAACCTGACAATAAAAAACAAAACAACAACCCTGAAATGTTATTTTATGATTGTTTAGAGTTGTTTCAACCAAATTAACTGATCATCTTGGCGATAAACATTCTTAAATATCATTTCATAACTTCTTGTATGACTATAGCTTTACTGTCACCATGCATAATCATATCATAGCTTCCACTGCCCAATACTGAGTTATTATTACATGCTGTTTATTTTCCTTTCTACTTCTTGGTATTTTTTCACATTTTTTTAAAAATTATTTTGAGTTTTTCCTGTTTTTTTGCTGTTGGTGTCATTATATTTTTTTGAAATACTCTTTTTAAACGTTTAGTAAAATTAGATGCAACTATTGTAGATATGTGCTGAAAATTTCACACTGTACCACTAGTACTGTTTCTGGAATAAAGCAAATTATTATTATTATTGTCACCGATGATTACAATATCATCCACACAAGAAACTTGTATAAATTAAATTTTTAAGTCAGAAAAAGAATAAAACTAAAACATTGAAAGAAAGAGAGAGAGAAAGAAAAAAAGCAAATCGCTTCAAGGTGTAGTATCACTTACTTCCCAATAGCTGAAGGAGCAATCTCCTCTAAATTCTCCATACTCCATTCCTCCAGGAATTCCAGAATAGGTGATGGTTGACTGCCAACAGATATATACGCCATAAGAGCAAGATTTTTTACCAGTCCGACAGCATGACCTTCAGGTGTCTCAGCTGGACAAATCATACCCCATAAAGTGTTATGCAATTGTCTAGGCCTTGCCAACTTTCCATCTCTTCCGATTGGTGAATTTAAACGCCTCAAATGTGACAATGTTGATGCAAATGTCAATCGATTAAGCACCTAATTAAGCAAGGGCATTAAAGAGAAATATTAATTCCATTATGGGTAAATTTTGTTTTGATAAAGTCTCACAGTGTTATACAGTAATTTTCAAGTATTGGTTTGGTAGGGATTTTGTTTAATTGCATGGAGGATTTCATCATGAGCTGAGGTTGAAGATGAGGCAGTAACTGATCTAAGAAGACATTGCGAAATGGTCGCGCTATATCGTGAATTGGCAGAAGTTAGAATTCAAGGACCATTGGATTGGGTCCCAGTGGCTCAATGGTCTACGAGCTCGCCTTGTAACCAAAAGGTCCTGGGTTCGAATCCCGGTGGGCACGTACTGCTGAAGAGTCCCAAACTAGGGCGAAACAGCTGTCCAGTACTCCCAGGTTTTCCAGTGGTTCTCTAACTGATGTCAGCTCATGATGAAATCCTCCATGCAATTATACAGTAATATTTACTGATGACCAAGTTTCGAGCACAATTTATTACTGCTCATAATCATATCAAGGTAATCACACGACTTCCTAAATTCATTTATATAGTTCCGTTGTTTTTCACTTGATTTGATTGGTAGTAATATTTCCCATATTTCGGGTATGAGTGATGATTCATTCCTATTGCATGTGTTGGGGGTAGACTCGATGAATCAGGCAGGATTCAGTAATAAACCTCTCTCTCCACCTACATAGATTACTTTTTAGAATTTTAACTCTCTCTTGACAGGGTCCTTTAACCTACAGAGCTTGTCCCTGAGTGAGTTTGTAGGTTTAAATGCCACCAGCCTAATTCCTGCTTCATTTAGAATCCTACGTAGGGTTTCCGATGTTCCCTCTTTATATGGTATAACTGTAGATGACTTATATTCTCTCTTGTTTATATTATTATTATTAGTTTCACAATTCTTTTTTATTTTTATTTTGGCCTTTTTCAATCTTCCTAATGAATTTTATAGGATAGTTAGTTATTTAACACCAACGCTTCTTCTTCTATCTGTTTTATTTCGTTATTTAGGTCTTTTCTTGTGCTACTTAGTGCCATTGCTCGGTTTGTTAGACACTTAACTAAGCCAGCCTCAACAGAGTTAAAGTCTAAATATCTATTAGAATGCGTTTGTTTTTTATAAAAGCTAGCGTGTAGTTTGCTTTCTTCTATTCGTTTTATTTTACAATCTAACATAGCTAATTCTCCTTGCTCATTTTCCGAATCAAATGTGAATTTTATTCCCTCCACTAGTGAGTTTATGGGTCTCTGTCAAGAAGCTAGAGAGAGATCTGTTCTGTTTTTAACACTGTGAAAGTGTCATCCACATATCTCCACCATATTTTTGGAGTAGGATTAAATGTATTAAGTGCCATATTTTCCTAGCTATCCATAAATATGTCTGCTGCGATAAGGGATATTGGTGATCCATCCCATTGCTACACCTTCACAGTTTGTCTATATATTTTGCCTTTGAATTTAAAGATAGTAGATGTGAGACATAACTGAATCCCTAAAATAATTTCTTCAATGGACAGCTGCTTTGTCCTATGATTGAGTTCAGGATCCGCAGTTAGTTCTTTTTTAACTGCTTCTAAGGCGGGCATATTGATTGGTATATTAGTATAAAGACTGGTTATATCATCAAAACTAACCATTGTTTCATCATTATCTAGTTGTTGAATGTCATTTAGTTTATTTTTCATCTCATATGAATTAGTTAGTTAGTTAGTCTAGAATTTAAACGATTTCTAATGTTAATATTAATATTAATTCCTCCATAATCTTACCTGTGAAACCCCGGGACGAGCTTGATTCGCTTTTTTCTGATCACCCCAATTCCCTGTGGCTAGGGAATACTTCAACCCGTCAGTGATAATTTGACTGCGAATAGCCAATTCCAAATTGAAATCTTTGCCTTTGTCTATAAACTTTTGTGCATACAACCGAATCTCCTTGGTAAGATTTCGAAACAATCCACGAAAGAGAAAGGCGAGAAGTGGTCCTGCCAAATCCAACCGTTTATTTCCATAATGATCACGATCGTCGACATCGCGACGTTTTAAAGCAGCCAACAGTAGACGATGCACCATATAGCCTAGAAAGTAAGCCTTACGAGTTTCACAAAAGTCGGAAACACCGACATGTGGTAAAGTCTCCTTCTGTAGGATTTCTTTAGCATACTTTATTCTCTTCTCCTTTGTAACACCAGGACGAGCACCGCGAGAACCGATAAAATTAAGGGCAACTTTCTGTTCCTAAGAAATATCAGAGAAATTAATCGGATGAGCAACTTACTTGAATCACGAATGCATCGTCCAGTGAGGGTTTAATCATTTCACGCATTTCTGTATCATCAAAATCATAGATAATATGCTCAAGGATGTCACGATCAGCGACAAAACCCAATGCTCGGAAAACAATTAACACTGGAATCTCTTGTTTTATGTAGGGTAGAATAGCTACAATCCGTTGACCGATAGTAGCCCGTTTGCTGCCGTCTTTGCCACCACGTGCCATCATATTGATCCATAAGGTGCTAGCAGGCCGTGAACTATGCTCAAGACATGATCGAATCTCTGTTTTGTAGGCATATTTACTGTCTTTTTGTCGGAAAACATACACTGAAAGGAGAGAAAAGCGGTGGAAAAATATTTTATATATATACAGGTGATTATTAACATATGTCGGTCAGTCGGTCGGTTTTCGACATAGAACTACTTTGCACCGATGTGCAGGAGTTCAAGTCACCCCACACTCCCTCCACTCCATGTACCACACAAAGCAACAGAAGAAAGTAGAAGAAATGCATGATAGAAAGAAGACAGTAAACAGAGGTGTGGTGAGACAAAGGAATAGTAATAACGAAGAACAAAACAGTTTAATTGGAAATCATAAGTCACAAGGAGTGGATGCATCTGCACTATGCATTGAGAACGATTTTGAGCCATATCATCACCAATTGTTTCCAACCATTGGTTTTTACCGTCATCCCGAGGACCCCAACCAGTCAGGAAGTCAGTCTACACCTTCCTACGTGGCTTAGACTAACTGTTGTAGATTTCATTGACTGGTGAAGCCATGTTTTCGTTTGACCGCCGCTAGCTGCTTTCCAGTTTGACCCATCCTATGTCAGCTTACATTGCTCATTATCGAGGAAGGCGATGACTAGGCATACATAACACATGTCCTAACCATCTCAATCGATGTAATTTCAGCGTCGTCTGTTGATTTCCCCTCCTTACCTAGCACTCGACCGACATCTAACCTCAATATTGCTTACCTTATTATACCACTTCACGCAGGAGATAGAACGCAGACACCTATCATCGAAGACAGCTAGCTAATCTTTTCATGTCTTCTGCTCTCAGTGGCCAGGTCTCACACCCAGTCATAAAGGAGGACGGAGCGGACTGTTGGCTGAGCAGTACACACGCCCTTTGGTCGACAGCCAGACAGCCAGCCAGCCGGATATCACGTCTACTAAGCCAGAGACGGCGTAAACTGGCGGGTATATGCCAAACTAGCCCTCTGTATCCGTACTCAGCTGAGATTTCGTCAGAGATCAACCCGTTGGCACTGGCTGCTGGTACTTCCCAAGTAAGTGAAGCGGTCAACGTGCTCTACCACTTCACTTCCTATTTCTAATCTAGGGGTCGGTGAAGTCCAATCCTGCAGCATCATCTTACATTTTACAGGGGCGAATCGCATACCAAACATACGAAGATTGTTGCTCAAGTTGTTCAGTAGACTCTGCATTTTGTCAGTGTCCTCGCCTAGAAGGACTATATCGTCCGCATATTCTATGTGTAGAACTTGGGCACTGTGGTGGTGGTAGTAACTAATATACACACATCTTCACAGCTTCGTTCCTATCAAGTACAAAAGAAATTTAGTGAAGACCCCCTTAGCCACAGAGTCAGTTAGAGCTATATGCTGTGAAGAAGTAATTAAAGATGAATTAAGCATGGTATATGATACTTTAGTCGAAAATCTTATCCTGACAGATTCATCAAGAAACACATGACAAAGACAGCGGCGGAAAAGGACTACTCATTATCTGTAAACAAGAAGCCTTTATATATACGACTACAATTCATGGGCGATATACCAAGCGAGATAATTATGAAGAAATTAAGAAAATCAGTTCAAAGAACTTTTAGTGCTGGCAGCGAACTACACGTATTATTCTCTACACAACCGATGGTGCTACCTCGACTGAAAGATGAAGCACCTAGACTAGCTGGTCACTTCAAATTGTATTAATCAATTCAACTGCGCTTGTGGAGCGAGTTATGTTGGCCGTCGCTCTAGGAACTTGATTTTTCATGCTCACTCGAGAACATATCCCACTATGGCTAAGTAAAGGTGTAGTTAAAACTATCAACAGCTCGATATTAGACCATCTGGTGCAAACCGGTCACAAAGTCAGCGTAGAAGAATCCTTCTCTATAACAAACTACCAAAATCGTCGAAGCACCGCATGCTCCAAACACCAGAGGCTATTGCAATTCGCCTCAAACAACCAGTGCTCTGTGCTCAAAAGAAACAATTCCATATTAGTTTGTTTATTAGATGGATGTATCACACACAGTCAGTGAAACAGTAATAGTATTTACTGGATGACAAAGTGTCGAACACAGTTCATCATTATTGCTGTTCATAAGCATACACATCACCAATTGTAATCACACGACTTCGAAAGTTCAGTCTGATAGTCTTCTATGTTCTCTCCTATTTGTCGTCGTCATTGGGGTAGTAGAATTCTCCAGATGTCCAGCTGGACAGGTGTTGAATCATTCCTATTGTAGACATATATTGGTAGTTGATTCGATCAACAAAGCTTCTGTTATCAATCTCTCCCTCCCTGCACCCTGTTACATAAGACTTTGAAACTGTCATCCTCTCCCATCCAGCCTATTGTATGGTTGTGTATAACTGCATGTAGTGCTATAGCTGAACTATTCTCTAGATTTCTTGTCTTATTTGGATCAACCAATCTAGATTTCACTACTAGTTTTTTATGCTGCTCGGCTAGTGTGACTCACTGACTGACCCTGTTCTACTAGTTTGACCTATGTATTTGACCTGACAATCATTCCAGCAGACAGGGGATTAGATAAACTAAATTGTTTTGTCGGTTGAAGGCTCCACTGGCAGGATTGATCCTTTAACCGACAAAGCTTGTTTCTAATTGAGTTTGTGGTTGGTTTGAATGCCAGCAGCCACTTTTATTCCTGCCCGCCTTGTTAAGATTTCTCCGCCTTAAGATGGTTTCCGAGGTTCCTTCTTTGTATGGCTGTACTACTACTGATGATTTAGATTCCTCACTGTTGCTGTTGTTATCATCTGATGTAACAGGAAGCTTTATTTATGGAATCAACTGCAAATACGTGCTTGTAATAGGAATGATTCAACACCTGTCCACCCCAATATCTGGAAAATTCTACTACCCGAATGACGACGACAAATAGGAGAGAACAAAGAAGACTGTCTATAAAACTCAAGTTTCGTAGTCAAGTGTGATTATAATAATTGGTGATGTGCATGATTATGAACAGCAATAATGATGAATTGTGTTCGAAACAAATTTGTCATCCAGTAAATACTCTAATACTGTTTCACTCACTGACTGTGATACATCCATCCATCTAATAAACAAACTAATAAGGGAATTTTACAAGTGAGCAATACTGCTGATGTGCGTCGGTGGCATAGCGGTTAGGACGCTCGCCGCGACCATGCACATGGTCCGGGGTTCGATCCCCGGCCGGCCACCGACGCACTCCTTCACGTCGCTAAACCAGAAATAATGCTGGTGAAGAGGAAAGGTTGGGCATGAGGCTGGCTAGCAACCGTATCCCGTAAAATAAATAAACACTGCTAGAGAAACTTCAAGCCACTAGCTTGAGGGCGCCCTATGTTCCACTGGGGAACGTGAAGGAGAAAAAAAATACTGTTGACAAACAAACCTGTATTAGTAGCCATTTTCTCTTGAGCGATCAAAACTTTCTCCGACCCGTTAATGATGAAATAACCGCCAGGGTCTAATGGACACTCGTTTAATTCAGCCAAATCACGATCACTCATTACTGACAGAAGACAATATGTAGATCTGTAATAACAGAGAAGATGACAAAAACACAGAATGACTGACACACATACCTCAGCATAATCGGTATTTTTCCGATAAACTTTTTCTCCAGCGGTTTCTCTTCAATCACAGAATCACGTATAATTCTTTTCATGACATCGACATACAGCGGTGCTGCATACGTGAGATTTCTCAACCGTGCATCATTCGGTGTCATCGGTACTGAAGATCCGTCTTTCTCCCAATGCGTAGCTTTACTCAGATAGATCTGTTCAAATTTTAAACGATATTGAACCTATATGCGAGAGATGAAAAAAGAAAAAAAGACATACAGGAGTTTCTAGAATTCCACCAGTGTGTTGAGCTTCTGCCTGCAGTTCAATGATAGGCGAATCTTCAACAATCTTTTGAATGGATGTTTGAATGAATTCATCAAAAGAATCCAGCTGTTGTCTGACTAGACCCTTTTCATCGAAATAACTACTGATCACAATCCAACAAGCCTCTTGCCACATGTCTGGAGTAATTTCATCGTCTTCATTGTTGCTTTGTTCATCCCCGTAGAATTGACTCTCCGGGTCGTCCTCTTCTTCAAAATCCTCTAAATCACCCTCGACATAAAATGGATCTACAGAAGAAAAAAATATGAGATGAAAACGGGAATTGGAATTACTCATTTCAATCACGCTGAGATTTTACAAATGTCTACTTCTCACTCGGCGCCCAAATATTTTAGAACTATTCTGTCAAATCTTGACGACAGACAGTTCATTTGAAACTTCATCAGTCTTGAAAAAAACTTGTCGAGCGTCTTTTCTTCAAGTGGAATAAAGTAATCTCATTTTAATATGTAAGCTGTCGTTGGCACAGAGGGAGAGGATGCTCGCCAACCACACGCAGGTGGTGCAGGGTTCGATCCCCGGCCACCGACGCACTCCCAAACCTCTCTAAGCCAGTAATAAGACTGGTAAAGAGGGAAGGTTGGGCATGAGACTAACAACCCCATCCCGTAAAAATAAATACTACTACTACTACTGTGATGAGAACTGTCTGCTGGCCAAAATTGGTAGACAGTAATTTACGTCAATGTTTATGTCCTAAATATTGGTCATGAGAAAACAAGAACAAAGACTGACTGACTAAACCAACAACCAATCACAGAAGACTTTGTTTTCGTAGGCGGATACAATTAGCAGATAGATAGATGATTTGACCTTGAAGAAACAGCCACAAAAAGAAACAACCAATCACAAGACTGTGTTTGTCTGCTAACAATAATCTATAATAATAATAATGTACATGAAAATCTACAAACATATTTGTTGATTTCCTTGATAAACGACCTGTTGCCTGACTGGCCTTGTCTTCTGCTGTTACAGACAGATCTGAACTCTCGGGTTGGGAATCTTGAGACACTAAGACCCAAATCACTGAAGACAGAATAATGCATATACCCTAAATCCTTAGCTGTCGAGTCACCTGACAACTCTTCAGTAGGTCGAATAAAGCAGCTCAATCTTCAGAGAGAAGACAAAGCAATAAGTTCGACAGGGTGCTCTTCAACTAAACTCTAATCCTAAACACCATAATTTTGACAATATACGTCTAATCATAAAATTCTAGATATACTAACAGTTTGAACAGACATGAAGGCGTGATGTGTGTTAGCTGATGCATAGGAAATCCTTATTAATAAATAAGAAAATAGATATATATCACTAATTATTAATACTTGGTCAAAATTTTCGACTGCCCATATCTTCGTATGGAGACCTTAACAAATGTTTTATAACTGTTCACCCCCCCCACACACACACACATACACTCTGTTTAAAGTGTTTAACAAAGGTAGACCAATATTTGTAAGTCCGAGGTCAAATTTGGATCACAGCTCATAAAATTTTCTTTATTATACTTGTTGATACTTGTTGAATGGCTCATGATTGGACAAAGTTTTTAAAAACAAGTGATGTTCCTTTTATATACAAACCTCTGTTATGTTAACTTCGATTAATTTCCCTGAAGAAGTCCGGACCAGATTGCCGAACGAATCGTTGGAATTAATCATTTCAATTTCGCTGAGATTTTACAAATTTTCTCAAAAAAAAAAAAAACTAAACCCCAAAAGGATATCGATGAATGCCTTGCTTGATGAGGAACTTAATAATAATATTAAACAGTTGCTCAGTGAAAATACTTATCCAGAAAAGTTTATTGATAAGAATATGAATCGAAAATCAAAGCAGCTCAAGGTACAGCAACAGTTCCAAGGCAAAGGAAGGCCTTATTCTTACAAATCCAGTCAGTTCCTTGGGGACAACACCAGCGAGATACTAACACAGCTGTACCTTAGAAATGAGGTGGTTAAAAGAGCATTCCCTGCTAGTGATGAATTACGCTGTGTCTTCAAAACCACTTTTCTCTCTTGCATTCATTCGGGAGTAAAAGATAAACTGACTAATTTCGCCTCTTCCATGTGTGCGTGTATATCTACCAATTTAACTGCTCCTGTTGTGGAGTGAGCTAGTTACTTGCATAGGCCGTATACAATTAGGCGTGTTTCTCGTCGAATTTCCGAACATCACCCTGCACAGTGGTTGGTTGGTAAAGTAAAAGAAAAAAAACAAAATCTATTCCCAGCGCTATTCTAACTCACTCATCTTGTGGATACACAACACAAGACTGATTGATGTTAACAAGGCGGCTTTCAAAGTCATCTACCGAAAACCAACAAATCTCAATTTCGCCTTAACAGTTCGACTACTAAATATTGCTGAGGCTGGCTGGTCGTTGGGAGCCAGATTAATCTGTGCACCCAAAAGAAGTTGGTTGGTTCATACATTATTCCCACACTCTTGGCCATCTAGGTTCGAATGATGCTGAATTTTTGTGGAATTTTCCATATTTTAGTTGAGATTCTATTTGCTGCTATATCTTTACTATTACTATTACTATTACCATTACTATTACTATTACCATTAGTTACTATTACTGTTACTATTACTATTACCATTACTATTATTATTATTATCATTATTATTATTATTATTATTATTATTATTATTATAATTTAAGCATCTTTAATGAACTGTGGTAATTCCATTGTGATCTTACTTTACAAATCGATATTACTATTTAAAAAGCACACACTAATATTGTTATTGACTACTAATCTAGAATATTCTATGTATATAAACATGCATATATAGATAGATTTAACTGTAGAGCGAGAAGAGGAGGAGGAATTTATCGAAAGGGGGATATTCTTTGCTGGCTCAATTATATTTTGTGTTTTATAGATGCCTGAATAAATATTTTCGCTATATCGATTAGGTGTTACTGAAAACATGAAAAGAGATAACAAGGTTAGTGTTATTTATCAACTTTAAATGAGTTTGGAATTCAAAGGGGACTCTTAGCTTCCGATATCATCATGAAACGAAGGATATCACACAGTCCCTGAAAAGAACATTCCCTGCTGCATCTCCGAGAATAAATAGCCTTTACTAGTCGACCATTATGCTGTTCAATAACCTGAACAAGGACAAGATCCCGCTGTTGACCAACTCTATGTGTGTGTTTATCAATTCACCTGCTCCTGTGGAGATAGGTATATCGGTCGTTCGACTCGAATTTTGTCCAAGATGGTGCAAGAACACTATCCTGCATGGTAGTTACGAAGAGGTGGAAGTGGAGCAATAAGAAGCAAGATCATTGAACATCTCCTTGCGATAATGATCACCCTATATCTATAGCCTCTGCCTTGAAAGTCATCTACAAGGCAAAGAGTAATTTACCCAAATCCCTACGTACCCGACTCATCTGTATTTGCTGAAGCCATCTTTGGCTATCGAAACAGAAAAGCCAGATCTCTGTGTACAGAAAAAAAGTTAGTTCAATCCCTCTACCCTCCAACTTTCATGGTCTTAATCCCTCGTCTATGCTAAAGTATGGTAATCCCCAATCATATTTTGGCTCTACCAATTTCCCATTTTATCTATTCAATTTGTATTCTCTTCCTTTATTACAATGTCAATTGTTACTACTATTACTATTCTCACTTTGAACTGTCCCCGGTATTATTTCACTTGTTCCACTTATCATTCTAAATCAATTCTTCTTTTTACAATGTTAAATACTTTGCTATCAAATTCACACACAATATTACGTAACGTTTTTATCTAAGACACTGCCTAACTAAGCAACTAATATATTTAACAATGACTTTAGCTATAAAGTGACCTACGAATACAATTTGCATGTATAATAAATTAATGCAGCGAGATGACCACTACAACATAAAAACACCCCGAAACCTTCGTGTGCTTTTGGAAGTGTGTGGGCGGATGTTACTCCCCGGCTGCCAACAACGTGGAGGTTGCTTGAGTCTTCGGGCACCTGAAACAGAGGCCCAAACACGAGAGAACCAGGCAGCCTTTAGACCACTCTTCAAGAGATTCTAGAACATAGGCATTCTTACCGGCGTCCAACAATCGTTATATTTCTTCACCTTAAGGCGGAATTCGATTCTGTCGAGATAGAGAGGTTCTCTGGCGATGCTTGCTGGCTGTAAATGGAATACCGACGAAATGCGTAGCACTGATCAACCCACTCTACTGGAACTCATGCAGTCAGCCAGGTGAGAGCTTACGCCGAGTTGTCATCTGAAGTGGTGACCACTAGTGGTGTCTGTCAGGGATGCCCATTATCCCCATTACTGTTCAATTTCAACATAGATGTAGTAATGGATTTCACCCTAACTCACTTCAGAGACTCAGGGATTCACTTGCTACCAGGAATGGAATAATCTCGCCGTTAACTTAGAATATGCAGATGATATAGTCCTCCCTGGTAGGCGAGAACGCTGACAAAATGCAGACACGGTCTTCTGAACACCTTGAGCTGCAATCTACGAATTTCCGGAATGCGATTCGCTCGTGCTGCTGTCAAATGTAAGATGATGTTACAGGACTGACTGACTGGACTACACTGACTTCTAGTTTAGAAATAAGGAGTGAAGTGGACGGTGGAGCACGTTGACTGACCGCTTCACTTTTTTGGGAAGTACCATCAGCCAGTGGCAACGGGTTGATTTCTGACGAAATCTCAGCTGAGTACGGATACAGAGGGCTAGTTTCGCATATGCCCGCCAGTTTACGCCGTCTCTGGCTTAGTAGACGTGATATCCGGCTGACTGGCTGGCTGGCTGTCGACCAAAGGGCGGGTGTACTGCTCAACAGTCCGCTCCGTCCTCCTTTATGGCTGGCTGTGAGACCTGGCCATTGAGAGTGGAAGACATGAAAAGGCTGGCTAGCTTTCTTCGATCATAGGTGCCTGCGTTCTACCTCTCGTGTGAAGTGGTATAATAAGGTGAGCAATATTGAGGTTAGGTGTCGGTCGAGTGCTAGGTAAGGAGGGGAAATCAACAGATGACGCTGAAATTACATCAACTGAGATGGTTAGGACATGTGTTACGTATGCGTGGCCTAGTCATCGCCTTCCTCGACAATGGGAAATGTTACCTGACATAGGATTGGTCAGGCTGGAAAAGAGCTAGCGGCGGTCAAACCAAAACATGGCTTCATCAGTCAATGAAATCTACAACAGTTAGTCTAAGCCACGTAGGAA